AAAGATGGCTCATTGATTCACTCGCAAACACGTCGGCTGGCGAGATGGGCCGAACACTTCGAAAAGCAGTTCAGCTGGCATTCTGCAACAAAGCCTGTGAAGATAATGCGTACGGGCGAGTGGAATTCAACCCTTAGTCGCCAGTCGGAAGAAGAAATAATGTACGAAGTATCCTCACTAAAACGTGAGAAGGCACCAGGACCGAACGAGCTATATCCAGCTCTTTTGAAAGAAGGCGGAGAATCCCTGATGATCCATCCAACAAAGTTTATTGGTGCTACATGGGACAAACAGAAGATGTCTGCATATTCGGGCTATATCGACAGTTATTCCTATCTACAAAAAGAGTTTGCGAACGCTGTGTAAAGACCACCGTGGCATCAGCCCATTAGCTGTGGCATCGGAAGTGCTCTCTGACCTTATCCTTCGAAGGTTGACTGAATATAGGGAGAGACAGATCCGTGAAAACCAAGCTGGATTCCGTCCTGCAAGAGGATGCATCAATCACATTTTCACCCTCCGACAAATTCTGGAACAGCAGAGATGCTTTCACCAAACCAACTGTGGTTGTGGTTCTTGATCTGAAAGCTGCTTTTGACTCTGTGGACCGTCAGGCACTCTGACAATATCTGCGGAGCAAAGGTGTCCCCCATAAATTCTTGACCCTCATTAAGGCGCTGTATGTCCTCTCCCGCGGCCATGTAAAGGTCTACGGGAAACTATAGCCTGAGTTCGCCAAATCAAGTGGTGTCAGACAGGGCTGTCCTATTCCACCTTTCCTCTTCAACTTCGTCATTGACACGGCCATGGAAGACTCACTACCAGCCTCTAATGCCTGTGGGGTCGAAGTGCTCCCTGGGCCTCCGCTTACAGACATCGAGTACGCGGACGACATAGCTCTTCTTAGATCTGACTCCGTGGTAATGCAAACAATATTAAATAATCTAGACAATTCTGCCTCGCGGTTCGGCATGCGCTTCACACCCGCAAGGTGTAAAGTGCTACTGCAATCCTGGGTGGGCTCGAACCCTAGCCTCATGCTTGCGGATGAACCGATTGAGTTAGTAGACAAATTTGCTTACCTGAGCAGCTGTATAAGTCCTGGTGATCTGGCGAAAGATGATATTTCTATCCGGATTGGAAAGGCCAGAGCAGCTTTTGCGAACCTACGTCACTTGTGGCGTAGGCATGACATCAGCTTCTCTGTCAAGGGTCGAGATGG